GTCCAATAGGCGAAGGGAATGGCGCTGAGCAGAGGAAGTGGCAACATAATCGGCCTGTCAAAAGAGGAAGGCAGCAAAAGTTAGCAGTCCTAAAGAGCATAAAGAAGTAAGTGAAATACTTAGAATGAAGGAGGGAAAGGACACTGACCATACGAGTATACTCCTCCTGCATAAATGGCCAGGCCGGGCTGTGGACCACGTCAGGATGGTCCCTCTTGAGCTGTTGTATTTCTTGAAGCTTGTTGTTGAAGTCCCGTCCTACCCAGGACGTGTATCCTGTGAACTGATAGGCCTCCCGGGCATAGGGAAAGGGTTGACTCCCTTGCCCAATGAGAAACTCATCATCGGCGGTCCCCATGGGAGGACCGGCGGACACCAGAGAACCGGGGAGAGGGGTGGAGTTCCGGCCCCTCTTGTGGCGGACCTGAGAAGAAAAGGAAGACCCGGTCTCCTGAATTGATGGACCGGGGATGGCAGTGGGACGGATGGAGGATGGGACAGTAGCCTTCCCAAAACTGGAGGACCGAATTAACTCCTCCGTCTCCAAAAAAGACTGATGGATGTTTGCTCCGGGGAGAGGAACGTCGCCATGACCAAAGGGTGTCCCAAAAATATTCTCCGCCGCAGAATTTGCAAAATTGAGGATATTGGACGTTTGGGGCTGGGAAATTGCTTCGTCTTCCCCACAGCCAGTCCCGGCCACCTGAACGTGAGGCGGCTCAAGGGACCCTTGCGAACCAGTGGCGCGCCGAGTCGGAAGGGTCCCACCGGTTTGGGGGTGGAAACCTAGTGGGCCCCTGGGCTGAGCCGAAGAAGAAGTTCCCCTACCAAAGAGAGGAAGGTGAGGAACGCCGGGGATAAGATGGGGTCCCCTCAGGGTCCAAGGAGAAAAGTCATAGAGGCCATCCTCGTCGGAGACGTCCTGAACCACCACCTCTCCCGAAAAGGGAGGACGCTCGACCAATGATAGAGGCTGTGCCCCAGTCACGGACTCCGTTTCTTCGCCTTCGGTGTCCTCCTCCGGGGAAGGATCCCGTCGCGAGGACCGCCGCGAAGCCCGACGGGTTCGAGTGACCCTAAAGGGAGGAACCCGGGAAGAAGTAGTGTTTCCCGAAGGCTCTTGGAGAGGGATATCGGGAGACACCCAATACCCGAGACCCCGAAAATACGAGTCCTTGAGGAGGAGCACGCGGGGGACCGGATGGCCGTTCTTGCGAAGAAGACGGAAGACCCCCTCGAGCTCCGAGTCGCGAGGGGGAAAAAGGTGAGAAGGGAACTTATCTTCCTTCTTCCGCCACATGTTGGGGAAGGGAAGATCTTCGGGAACTACCACCACGAAGAAGCGGCGAAATCAATCGTCAAGTTTGTCGACCGGGCTATCCAAAAACTGCATATCGGTCCGGGCCGTGAAGCTCACGAACCCCCGGCCCAACTCGCCATCATACTTGTGGGGACGGAAGAGAGGAAAAGCTTCAAAGTGGGTTGGATGCCTCTCTTGTGACATCGCGCCAAGAAGCCGAACAGACTCTCGTGGGAGTTCGAGGAAATTTGGCCGGGGGGGATGGCATAGCGGGTGCAAATCTCAATCAAGAGGGGGTGGAGAGGAAAGCGACATCCCATCCTAACCGAGTCGTAGTGGACGACCAGCCGGCGGGAGATGTTAGGGTTGCATTCCAAAGTAGTACCCGTGGCTTCCTGGACTCCGTAGTCAGGAGGGATCATCGCCCTCATCTCCCCTAGTTGCGCTGGGGTGATGGAGGAGACACTATCATCCTCCTTAGATTTTTTGCCGCCGTTGAAGATCTTGGAGACCTTGGAGATGGTCTTCTTCATGGTGAGAGAGAGTGAAAGTCTTGGGAAGGAGAGAGGGTAATTCGGCAGGGATAAGAGCAAGGGAAGTGGAGAGTTGTGTGTAAACGTGGGAAAGGATAGGGGAAAAGGACCGGTTTTTATAAAGAAAGAGAAGAGGAAGAAGAAACGGTCCTCCCTCAATGCTTCTTTGACTACTCATAAGAATTTGAACGGCACCTGTCTCGAAACGGCCCAATGGCAGTGAAAAGAAAACGGGAAAAGAGAATTGCAACCTTAGGATTCGGATCAATAACACTAATTCCAAACGGTCCACTCTGCCTATTTCCCAGACCTGCCGTCCTCTGTTTCTTTCCCTTTTCTTGCTACGATCCCACAATTATAGAAGGGTGGGGACTTGGAATTGTGCGCAGTAGAACGGTCCTATACAGCAATTAAGGGAATTAGAGGAACCGGTCAAAAAGGGTTTGGAAAAGTGGGCCATGAGTATTTAAGTGGCACGGACTTCCAGCGATCCACTCGTCCCAATTTATTCCTCTACAAACGGTCCACCATTATTGGTGTGCAGGGACTGTTCGCATGACCAAACAGCCATTGGACAGAACCGTGTGTGGCCACAAGCAGTTCACTCAACCAATTATACACCCTGGCCCGCAAAGACATACTGTGGGGAATATCATCTGGAGTGAATACAAGTTAAAAACTTGGGGTCTTCCCCAAAAGAGAATCTTCGTCAAAAGATGAAAAGAAGACAGAAGAGAAACTCCCCAAGGAAGCATGCGAGGAAGACTATAGTCAAAAATTTTTTTATTTTTTGACTTGTAAAAAAAGGGGCATGTGATGGGAACCAAGCCCATCGAGAGAATATCGGCGAATTGGGCCTAGGCCCAATTCGGAGCCCGTCCATCAAAAGGAGCATCCGGCCCAGGTAAAATGTACCGGGCCGGTCAAAGAAAGTTATCCGTGAGGAAAGATAGGAAAAAGGAAAAGGATTGGGTGCTTAAGAATGGGCTGAAGCCCAGCCCACTAAGAATAAGCTACCCCAAAAGGAAAGGAATCCTATGGAAGAGTCTAGAGTAGTCCCCCCCCTAATTGAAGGGACAAGGACGAGGAGAAAGGGACGGACAGGGAGCAAGAGATGGACGGACATGCTTGTCCTCCAGTAGACGGCTTCAAGCTAAGATACATCCCCCTAGAAGGAGTAAGGCTGGCACGAATATTCCCCCAATCACTGCCATTATTGAAGAGGATAATGGATGGGGAGTGCCTATAAAAGAAAAAGGGACTTGGGGAGTAGAGGATCATCTTGTAATAGAGAGAGAAAAATACTTGAGTAAATAATAAAAGATATTCCGGCGATCCTTAAGCATATTCCGTTCCTAAGAGGACCGAATAAAGGAGAGGACCGCCAGTTTGAGTTATTATCCAGTGAGCAGTGCTTCCATTACTATTAATTATTATTCTCGTATTATCTTTCAATATTATAAGGCCCGGATACCTATATTTGGACCTGGGCCGATCTATAGTCCTTGGGAAAATATTGGGTATTCATCAAATTTATATTAGGAAATAATTTTAAAAAATACCTAATCATATACCTAATCAATAATTTTACATTAGTTTTTAGAAAAATGGTCAAATTTTGGGTCAAAATATAGCCAAATTTGGATGGAATGTGTACACTAATATATTACAGATACACAAAGATAATTATTCTGTATGTATCTATAATATAAATAATCATTATCTATGTGTGTTATGTATATATAAAGATAATTATTGTCTCTCTATGTGTCTAATATAAATTGTGTACACATTATTTTGGAATTTGGAAATAAAAGGTTAAATACAAAATCACGGAGTAAAAGAATTTTTGTCAACATATCCGACATCTCCCACGTCGATTCTTGACACGACAGTGAAGTCTCATGTCCGTTTCAGACTTGGCAATAGAGGAAGAAGATGGAGGCGGCTCTGCTGAGCGGAGAGGGCGGGGGCGATTCCAGGTTCAACCGGAGAGGCGCGTTCCACCGTCGCTCTGATGCAATCGTCTACGGCTCGTCTTACCAGAAGGCCGCTGCTCTCGTCGATCTCGTACGCGGCTGATTCATCATCTCCATCATTTCTTCGAAGTTTTTTTTTTAATTTTAGAAATATCATCTGGAAATGGATGAACATTGAACTTGGGAAATCGTATTTATTCCTCATTTTAGTGAAGTTTGATCCAAATGTCTCATAGCTCAATTGAATGATCCTAACCCTTCTATTTTACAGGCCGAAGATGGAGTGGGTATACCGGAGGAAATCCTTGATCAGTCCAACTTTTCAACTGTTGCAAACTCATACTTCATTTTTACTAAATTTGATTTACTGTGGTCTGTGAATTATTTTGCTCTTGTCGTCCTCAACTTCCTTGAGGTGCGAATGTTTTACAATTTGATTGTTGTTGGCTTATGTGGTTGTTTTTTCTCTAGTTATATGGTCTGCTATTGGCTGAATTGCAGAGGCCACTATGGTGTTCCAAGCCGTCGTTGCATTCTTGTAGTGATAGAGAATACTACTTTCTAGGGCAGCTTCCGTACTTGACAGCCACTGAAGCTCTGGTTTATGAGGTCTGGTTAAAAATAATAATAAATGTATTCAAAGCTTTGGATTAGATTCACCATTATTATGTAGTAACATGCATAAGAAATGTGAGTTGTTTACTTGGATGATGGGATGTGTCTAAGAATTTCATCGCAGGTTATATCTGAGCTTTCTCACTCTGTCTCTCTTTAATCTTTTCAGGTTGTTACCCTTGTAATTCTCATGGCCCATATTTTGTATCCAATATCATATGAAGGCATTCAGATCTACTGGAAAAATGTCATCAATAGGCTGAAGGTGGTTAGCTCTACTCTTTGAAATCATGTCGTCTTCTTCATTTTTGTGTCATAATGCCTCTACATGGTTCTGACTCTTCACTCAGGGGCTGCATCATCTTGTAATACTGTTAGGACTTTGGAACCAAAGAGGAATTGAATATGAGAAATAGGATAAAACCTATTAAGAGCAAGGATATCACTCAATGGAATTGAATATGAGAAATAGGATAAAACCTATTAAGAGCAAGGATATCACTCAATAACTTTCGATAGCCAACCAAATAAAATTTCAATCGAAAGTAATAATTTATTCAATTTTAATGATGAAAAGTGCTGGAGACACATAAGACTATATATAGTCTCTGGTTACAACCGGAAAATAGAAAAGCAGAAAATCCTTGCAAACCAGGGATGATATACATGCTAACCTTATCATACACACGACAACAATACATTTAACTCCTAACATACTAAAATATCCCAACAATTAAGAATTAATAAAATATTCTGTGCTAAGTGCTAACTAGGATTACTATCAGTTACTCATTAAATATTTTTTCTTTTGGTGCTTATTCTATGGTTGCAATGATATCTTTATTTCTAAAGCTCTTGTCTCCTTGAATTCTAGGTTACAATGCTGTTAGCTTTGATTGTGGATCAGTTGGCATATGTTTTGGCTTTAGCCAGAATATATTATCTTCCATTCAGAGCTGCACCATATCTCCGTGTTGCCTTTTTCATTTTAAATATCAGGTACTATCCATAATATTTTGATGTTGATTACTTACTGCCAAATGTGGACTAGTACAGTTTTTCTGTTATTATTATTATAACTATGGCTTCAGTAGGAAGTGCAAAATATATTCATCATCAAACACTAGATACCCTTTTCAGCATGATTTGCATACTCTCTCTATCCTTTGATACCCCATAATTTTTATAGTTTGGTTTAATTTTATAGTAATTTTAGTTTGCTCCTTTGTTTTTTTTGTTGAATATTTCAGTGAATGGCCTGTTCTGGACTTTTATGGTTAAAAGATACTCCCTCCGTCCATAAATAATCTTCCCACTTTCCTTTTTCATCCGTCCACAAATTATCTTCCCATTTCCTTATTTGGTAACCTTTTTGTATCAAAAAGACTTATTTACCCTCATACATTTTTTTTCTTTCTTCCTACCTTATCTTTCCCGTACCCCCTGCCACCCCAATTCTTCTTCTTTTCTTCTCTTTTTTTCTTCTTTCTTTTCCTCTTCCTCACCTCTCCAATTGTGTCCAGCCAGCCGCCCCTTCATCTTTGCTACTACCATCTTCTTTCTTCTCATACCAATTTTGTCCAGCCACTAAACCTCTCGCCATTTTCCTTTCTTTCTTTTTTTCTTCTTATTCCTTGCGGTGATATCAACATGGATAGATCTATTTGAGTATTCTTTTTCATTCAATCTTCTGGTCATCAAGTCTTCTTCTTCATCAGATCTGAAGGAGTAAATCATGTTTTCGCCAGATCTGAAAGTT